GCCCTGTCTTCACAAATACAATGAATGTATTGCTGAGACTGAAGTATACACTTGTACTCAGACTCACGCTCTGAGCATCACTTCTGCGCATCTCTTCTCACATTTCTGTTCAGTTTTTGCTGTAAAACTCAATCACTATTTTCTTCAACCAATGCTTTCATTGCTTTCTCACGATTTCTATTCAAACATTCATTCATTTTCTTCACACACTCTCTCTCTCTCTCTCGCACTCTCTCGCCCTCACTCTCTCTCTCCGTCTCTCCCCATAACATATACAGACCGTACAGTGTATTAGAGAAAGCCATGGGTTTTACAGTTAAGTGCATACATGTGGGGGCAGGTGTGGGAACACTGACCCACACTCTATGGCCGGGCATTCGGTCCCATAGACTCCCAATTCAGACAATAACCCACTTTCTCACAGACTGTCCGTTAAAATGCAGACCTTTTTTGTTTTACATAAAACGGTTGCAGCAGTTCGTGAGGGCCAATGTCCCCAACACTTGTCCCCTACCCTATAGTGCCTACAAATGACCAAAACATGTGAAATAAATGAAAAACAAATTGATTTTTCAAAATTATTAACGGATTAAATGATTGGGAATCCGAAGGGAAGGAAAGGTGTAATTGTGTCTCAAAAGTGCAGTTCATTTGATCGTTGGGTTTGAAGATCCAGTGGTTGTGAACGGCTCTCAAACACACAATGCATAAGTGTTCATACATTACGTGCTCTCACTTTTCAGAGTGACTGCACTCTCACTTCACACACAAAACACACTTTGTATTTGTCTTTAAATACAAGTTTTAGTAACTTTTTTCTCTCATACTATAATCCAATTAAATGTCAGATTCACTCATTTATTTCACACAAAACTACATTATTTCTGTGTTTTGTTTGATATTTTCTGAACAATTAAACCCTTTAATTGTGTTTTTTAATTATACGCTAAACTTATTCTTACTTTTTATTTCAATCAAAAGTTAACTTTCAAATGTTCTCGACTTCTATTTTTATGAAATACATTAAATCTATTAACAAAAAGTTTCCTAAATTAGTACAGAATTCATAATTTATTTTGTCTACAGAATTATGTATTGAATGTATGTTTCCATGATTTGACACGAATTATGTTTATTACATACACTCAAACAATAGTGATTCGGGACAGCGTTTTCCCCAATAACTCCGAAACGAGTCATTCCATTTGAAATCAGTTTTCACCCAATTGTACGGATAATGTCAAATTCAGTTAATATATAAATTGTCATATTTATGTAGTAGCTTAATAGTGTTATTTCGAGTTTAAAAGCAAAGACTTTTTTCATAAACTCAATGTAAATTTACATTGTATTTACAATTTACGTTTTATTTTATAATTCCTCAACTTTTACAAAATTTAACTAGTTGATATTTTATGTATTTATAAGGCATTTTGGCTATTTCATATTTTTGTTAAACAACTTGAGATCCGAACACCGGGAGGTTTTTATAGAATATCCAGTTGTATTAATTCATTTTTAATGTGTATAATGTATGCTAAAATCTACCTAAATGTTTATGTGCAATAAAAACCTGCCGGTGCTCGGACCCAACGTTTTTTAACGAACATCTGAAATAGTTAAAATGTAAGCCTTATAAATGTACAAAAATATTAACTAGTTAAAATTTTTAATAATTATCTAATTTAAAAATAAACTGAAATTAAATGGGATGTAAATTTACATTGAATCAATGTACAAATTCTTTGATTTTAAAGTTAAAATTACAGTATTGAGCAACAACATAAATATGACAATTTATATATTAAATGAATTTGACATTATCAGAACAATTCGGTGAATTCGATTCAAAATCTAATTACCCGTTTTCAAGTTATTTGAGAGAGCGCTGTCTCAGAATCACTATTCTTTAGGTGTATATCTCATAGTTTTAGTGCATTTTATGTTAAATAATCAAATATTTTATCAAAAGTGATTGCATTGCAGTCTATGATAAAACTAGACGCCTAAAAGTAGCTACAATTTTTCCCGACATTGTTTTGTCCCGGGTTTGGTTGATATGAAATTCTCTTTGTAAGATCAGTTGACTATTAAATAAATAGAGTATATTTTCTATACAACTATTTTGTATATTTGTAAGATCACCAATATTTTAAATTAGCACGCTTTAAGAATTTTATAAAATATTGGTTAAATAAAAATTAAAAAAGATTTTAAGCTTTATAATAATTCTCACACAAAAAGTAAAAATTTGTTGGTGTATACAGTTTTGTGTTGGGAATCCATTTACAATTTAGAAACACTATTTTTAACGCTTCAAAGATTTTTTGATCAGCGTTTGAATCATCGAAATATTTAAGAAAAAAACTTAACACTAATTTTAAGCTACGATTACAGTATGTGTTTGCAAAAATGCCAAAGACCTTTGAGTTCTCTCTCTCTCTCTCTCTCTCTCTCTCTCTCTCTCCTTTCTTTTGTCATTTCTGCGATCATTTGGTAATAAATATTGTCTAAAAAGTATTGTAAAGAACAAAAAGGTATTTTGTTTATCGTTTGAATATATGTTGAATTGTTCACAAAAGGAGAACTCAATGGTCGCTACAAAAAGGACTGAAAACTACTTGATTTTGAGTTTAGACTCCAAATATCAATTAATTATATTGATCATGTAAATAATAATAATATTTTGTGTAGTTTTAAGTAAATTTTTGTAATTTTTAAATTATTTGTATTGTCTATTAATATTGAGCACAAGTTTTGAATTTAATGTGATTACTATTGGTTTGTAAATACAGTAGAATAATAAACACACAAACATTTATAAATTCTATTTAATCAGTTATAATAACAGATTTACTGCAGAATATGTGTTAATATTAAGAAAATATTGATTACAAATCACTGCTAAATTTACATACTTTTATGTTTAACATAATGCGAGTCATTAAAATATTTGTACATTTAATATAAGTGTTGGAAATGTTTTACTCTTTTGTAGTAAAGAAAATTAATACTTATAAAAATAAATAAAGAAAATATTACATATTTTTGGTTTCTAACCATTTATTTCATTTCATCCTATTTTTAGAAATATGTGTAATAATAAAATATCAATCAAAATATTACTTAATTTTAAATACAAATTTTTCAATCAAGTATTCGTCATTCCTGTCATTCATTCATTAACTTAGAAATCAATCATATTTTAAATTAATATTAATTTATAACACAATTAACGAATACTATATTCTTTATAACATGAGTTCAATTAACTCTAAAGTTTTGCAATAAGAAAAAGCCATAAAACGACACGACTTTACTTCAAACAGAAGATTCCCAATCATTTAATCCGTTAATAATTTTGAAAAATCAATTTGTTTTTCATTTATTTCACATGTTTTGGTCATTTGTAGGCACTATAGGGTAGGGGACAAGTGTTGGGGACATTGGCCCTCACGTACTGCTCCAACCGTTTTATGTAAAACAAAAAAGGTCTGCATTTTAACGGACAGTCTGTGAGAAAGTGGGTTATTGTCTGAATAGTGAGTCTATGGGACCGAATGCCCGGCCATAGAGTGTGGGTCAGTGTTCCCACACCTGCCCCCACATGTATGCACTTAACTGTAAAACCCATGGCTTTCTCGACATACACTGTACGGTCTGTATATGTTATGGGGAGAGACGGAGAGAGAGAGTGAGGGCGAGAGAGTGCGAGAGAGAGAGTGTGTGAAGAAAATGAATGAATGTTTGAATAGAAATCGTGAGAAAGCAATGAAAGCATTGGTTGAAGAAAATAGTGATTGAATTTTACAGCAAAAACTGAACAGAAATGTGAGAAGAGATGCGCAGAAGTGATGCTCAGAGCGTGAGTCTGAGTACAAGTGTATACTTCAGTCTCAGCAATACATTCATTGTATTTGTGAAGACAGGGCCAGACATCACACATACATAAGCCATACATTCATTCATAACATTCATTACAACACAAATCTATGAATGAATGAAACTATGATATGATGTAAAACTAGTTTGAATTCATTGTTTTGTTTCGCGATTACAAACAAAACCATTACTTTCTGAAGACATTTACTGAACGTAAGTCTCGTTAACATATATACTGTCTATTCATTCATTTATATATCCATTGTTTTCATCACTTCTTGCGGACAATACTTGTCGTTGTTTTTTACGTTTACTATGACTTGTATTTTGTTTTCATTTTCAATGCCTTTAACACAAAAACTGAGAAAATAAACAAATTTCACTTCAAATCAATTATTTATAGCAATTGTTTAGTTTTAGCCCTCATTTGAATATTTGATTCAAACTTATTATAGATTAATATTTATTGAATAAATAGTGAAAATAATAGTATTTGCGATAATTTAGTGGTAAATATAGTCAACAAAACTATAGCCGATATGTCTATCAGTTTATCACTGCTTTCAGTCCATACAGTAATAAAACGACATTTACTTAAAGTCTAATCAACACTACATTTGTATGTACAGTCTGCACCGCATTTATCGGTCCCACATATAACGTAAAACCGCTATAACCGAATATTTTTGCTGCACCGGCAGCTCCTATGGGTGTATAACGATAAGTGCACCACTAATAGCAGAATCGGTTATAACGGAATACCGCATATTACAGACAGTAAACTAATGCCGTGCAATGTTAAACAGCTCCACATATAACGGAATAGGGTTATACATAAATATAGTTATGTTGAAAACTATTCATCCTCGTATTATTAATACCCTTATTGATGATATAATTTGTAGTGTTTTTTAAATTAGTGTTTTAATAATAAAACAGTACTTCTTATATGTTTTTACACATTAGCAAATCAAATCAAATCAGTTTATTTAAAGTGTTATGTATTCATCTGAAAAGATGATGTTCTTTACAAAGCATAGCACTATAATTGTAAAATATGTTAAAATAAGCGCATTTTTTGGTAAAATTATCATAAGTTTATTACCGGGAATAACAGAAAACCGGCTATAACAGAATAGAAGTAAACTCACCGAGTGATTCTGCTAAATGCGGTGCAGACTGTATTTATAGTTATTATAGTAAAAGTAATAGTATTTACGTTAAGGCAATGTCTGCACAACGCTATACACAGTATATGCCATACATTGATGTGATATAAGAAATATAAGACATTTTGTGTTTTAATAGAGGAGACAATCAAATGGCGAGTATAATGAGAGGAGAGCACCGATGCTCTGGTCCGAGGACTGGTGTGAAGCGAAAAGTGGTGATATTGGACCCAATGGAGGCCCCGATGGGTCCGCCACCGCAACGGCGGCTGATGATGGGTCGGGTCAGTCCTATGCAAACCGTACCCTCAATGG